ATGCTGTTTTTAGCAGTAATCCTTAGGATTGATAATGCTGAGTTCAGGATTGTTTGTTAAGATTGATAATGCTGAATTCAGGATTATTCGTTAAGATCGATAATGCTGGTTAAGATTGATAATGCTGTTTTCATGAGTATACGTTAAGATTGATAATGCTGTATTCAGGAGTATTCGTTAAGTTTGATAATGCTGAATTCAGGAGTTTTCGTAATATTGATAATGCTGTATTCAGGGGGATGCCTTAAGATCGTGAATGCTGTTTTTAGCAGTATTCCTTAGGATTGATAATGCTGAATTCAGGATTATTCGTTAAGATCGATAATGCTGGTTAAGATTGATAATGCTGTTTTCATGAGTATACGTTAAGATTGATAATGCTGTATTCAGGAGTATTCGTTAAGATTGATAATGCTGTATTTAGTAGTATTTGTTAAGATTGATATTGCTGTATTCAGGAGTATTCGTTAAGATTGATAATGCTGTATTTAGGAGTATTCGTTAAGATTGATAATGCTGTAATTAACAGTATTCATTAAAAGCGATAATGCTAAATTCAAGAATATTCTTTAAGATTGATAATGCTGTATTTAGGAGTATTCGTTAAGATTGATAATGCTGAATTCAGGAGTTTTCGTTATGATTGATAATACTGTATTCAGAAGAATTCCTTGCGATCGATAATGCTGTATTCAGGAATATTCGTTAAGATTGATAATGCTGTATTTAGTAGTATTTGTTAAGATTGATATTGCTGTATTCAGGAGTATTCGTTAAGATTGATAATACTGAATGCAGGAGTAATCGTTAAGATTGATTATACTGTATTAAGTAGTATTTGTTAAGATTGATAATGCTGTATTTAGTAGTATTTGTTAAGATTGATATTGCTGTATTCAGGAGTATTCGTTAAGATTGATAATACTGAATGCAGGAGTAATCGTTAAGATTGATTATACTGTATTAAGTAGTATTTGTTAAGATTGATAATGCTGTATTAAGTAGTATTTGTTAAGATTGATAATGCTGTATTTAGTAGTATTTGTTAAGATTGATAATGCTGTATTTAGTAGTATTTGTTAAGATTGATATTGCTGTATTCAGGAGTATTCGTTAAGATTGATAATACTGAATGCAGGAGTAATCGTTAAGATTGATTATACTGTATTAAGTAGTATTTGTTAAGATTGATAATGCTGTATTAAGTAGTATTTGTTAAGATTGATAATGCTGTTTTCATGAGTATACGTTAAGATTGATAATGCTGAATTCAGGAGTTTTCGTAATATTGATAATGCTGTATTCAGGAGTATGCCTTAAGATCGATAATGCTGTTTTTAGCAGTAATCCTTAGGATTGATAATGCTGAGTTCAGGAGTATTCGTTAAGTTTGATAATGCTGAATTCAGGAGTTTTCGTAATATTGATAATGCTGTATTCAGGAGTATGCCTTAAGATCGATAATGCTGTTTTTAGCAGTAATCCTTAGGATTGATAATGCTGAGTTCAGGAGTATTCGTTAAGTTTGATAATGCTGAATTCAGGAGTTTTCGTAATATTGATAATGCTGTATTCAGGGGGATGCCTTAAGATCGTGAATGCTGTTTTTAGCAGTATTCCTTAGGATTGATAATGCTGAGTTCAGGATTATTTGTTAAGATTGATAATGCTGAATTCAGGAATATTCGTTAAGATCGATAATGCTGTATTCAGGAGTTTTCGTTAAGATCGATAATGCTGTATTTAGCAGTATTACTTAAGATCGATAATGCTGTATTTAGCAGTATTCCTTAGGATTGATAATGCTTAATTCAGGATTATCCGTTAAGATCGATAATGCTGTATTCTGGTATTCGTTAAAATTGATACATGCTGTATTCGGGAGTATTTCTTAAGATTGATTTTGCTGTTTTTAGCAGTATTAGTTAAGATCGACAATGCTGAATTCAGGAGTATTCTTTAGGATTGATAATGCTTAATTCAGGAGTATTCGTTAAGATTGATAATGCTGAATTCAGGAGTATTCGTTAAAATTGATACATGCTGTATTCGGGAGTATTTCTTAAGATTGATTATGCTGTATTTAGCAGTATTAGTTAAGATAGATAATGCTGTATTCAGGATATTCGTTAAGATCGTTAATGCTGTGAATGGTCGCTTTGCTTGCAAATAATGTTTCCCAGACGTACTGATATACTTTCTTTATCAGAAAGTTTAATTTTTCTCTGTACAAATGTATGTATGCCGGTAGATTCAGATAACTTTGTAAGTCACTGTTAGAACGGGTTTTCACTCATTTAAACGCTCTATTCATCAGTTTGGTTATATCTATTTTTATCAATGGTCTTATATATAACTCCTTCCCCAATATCGATTGCCTTCCTTTTCTAGGTGTATAGGTCTCGTCTTCGTCTAACATCGATATTTAACATCCTCTCGCAAACAATAGTCCACCTTTTTATGTTTTTTTCTGATTGCTTGCATTATAAAATTTCACATGAGTCAATCGTGTGAAACTTTCGACACCTAATTGCTATTTCAACGAACTTTTATTTATAAAAAAATGGATTTTATTTAATTCTCTCCATACTGCTATAAGTTTATTTTAAAAAAAACACACCTGTATAGATAGAAATGGAATGCATGTCATACACAGTAAGTGAGCGTCTGATATTCATACGTTTAACTTCAGATACGTTTTGTTGTTAAACGTTTGTAATGAACTACGAATTTAATTCTTGGTATATGCAGAATCACTGCCAGAGTTTCTGACATCAATAGCCATGAGTTCATCATCCTGTAGCATCGACACCTGATTTGCTGGGGAGCAGGTAGACAGATAACATTTAAGGAGCTTCTTGTGAGAGCAGCTACACTTAGTGAATATTTATACGTCATCTCTTTTAGAGCTGAATTTTAACGCTAACCACTTTGTGCTTACAAAGCTGACGTTTCTGTACCAGCAGATTACACGTAACTCCTACTTTCAGACATCAGTCTTACCACCTCGTCTTTCTAGCCCTGGCTATGTGTAAGACATGCTTCGACTTAATAAGGGGGTTCTTTATCTAAGTGTTTCTCCTGTCCGATAGTGTGGTGCTGTATAACCCTGTGCGTTAGTCACATTACATAACTGCACGAAAGATTTTTTTTAAATGTTTACCATCGCATGACAATGCCATGCTATGACCCAACCAAATTCAGAAAGCTTTCAAATCAACAACGAATGCCGATTACCAACTGCTAACGTTATCATTATTATGACGTTATCATGGTGACTTAGAGCACCAATGACCACCCCTGGACCTGTTTGTACGTTAATAGTCAATATTTCCTACGAGAATGGCAGATATAAGCAGTTAACTGCTTTCAATTGCACTCATAGCTAATATCTATATCAACTGAAACAAAACAAATTCAAAATGAAACGCCCTAGCACGCTTCATGGCATTTTGTCATTCCCATTTGGCATTCATATAGGCTATGAATTCAACTAAGAACAGTTCACTGCTTAGCTGACAGTGTTCTCACAAAATACCTATCATGTTATGCATAAATTTACATTAAATTGAAACCAAAATGCTAGTAAATAATACCAATAATTCATAAATTTAATTGACAAACGAAGACGTTATATTTATCACTGTTTTCACTGTATTAGCAGTTCAAATGAACCATAGTCTCTTTTTGTCAGCCCAACCATATAGTCTGTATATTTTGGTCGTTTACAGCTTGTTGTCATATATCAACGTTTTAATTCCAAGCCAGAGTAAAAAATAGCAAATTAAAGTATTGGTTATAGTATAGGACGACCAAACTTTGCCACGTAGTTGTGATAATGACGGCATCGTATATGACATAATATGATTTTTACCATTCCGCCTCAAACAGCGTTGCGTCTGGCTTTGAGTAAAACTAAGTACTGTATTGTCATTTATATTTCATTGACAATACACATACACACAATCCTGTGTTCGAGTTAAATTTCACGACGTGTGACTTATATGTACGGACTCAGCAGTATCGTTTTATTTATTCAGAATACCGGTTACATAAACACTTCCTGGAATGTGTAAATACGACACAGACTTTTATACTAGTAGGATTGTTCACAACAAACATACATTCGGATCCATGTTTTGCATAGTTACATTATATAAGCAATATGTATACACGAGCCTTGGAATCATGTGCACTAAATACAGATAATTCTTTCAATTAAATACAAATGTATGTCTTGAACCAAAAAATGATGACTACATTGAGTAGTGAAAATCATTATATAATACAGAGGTTTAGCCCTGGCGCCAGGAATGATGTTACCTTGATTTACAATTAGCATGATACCGTACAAACTACAACAAAAAGCATGACAAAACCCAAGTTGAAATTTTAAATAATGTCAATTATTGTCAATGATTTTAAATGATCCATGAACTGCTTCATGGATCAATAAAATGTCATTCAAGTATCTTCAGAAACAAGGAAATCCATTTGACTTACTGCTAAGAGTAACTATTGAGTGTTCCTAACATTACACATGTATATACTACTACACTATTGTATGTTTCTATTTACTACCATCTTAATTGAATTACAATGTATTGATAGGGTCGGTGTGGAATATCAACGTTAACTAAAGAAGGTATCCACATCGGTATCGTAAATAGTACCTCGCTTGTCAAATCCCATCCCAAGCGTCGTATAAACTCGATATAAAGCGTGCATATCTTAATAGAAATCAATACCGAACTGACAAACACTGTTGATTATCACGTGGCCATAATTTGACGGTAGCACAAGACGATCTAGATCATTTAGAACTCTTAGATATGAGAGGCTAACAAACACTTCACTCATACGCCCCTTTTAACCTATCAACACGCGCACGTAAGTTGCTGATTGACCTTTCAACTCCGTGGGAAGCCATATGACCTTTGCCCTTGTTAGGACCGCACTGAGCCATCCCTCCATTTGAATAACAATGAGAGAAGGCATTAAATTATGATCTGTTGTCCGATATAAAGCGCAACACGGACCACCTCTCCTGCCAGGGACCAGTGCCTTATACAGAGATCTGCTATAAGAACCGTGCATCGCTGTGTTGGGATAAGGTACCGAGAATCACGATGTGTTCAACCACCTGCTGGATCGCCGTACTGGCGACATTTGTTGCATGCACGCGCGGTACGTCAATCACACGTTACCAGGTAAGAATACACATTTTAATACCTGTACTTATCCTGAAGATTTTATTTACTTATTCAAAAAAATTGTGTTTACGTTGGTTTGCTTGGCAATATCTCGGTGATATCTTTGCAGTTCGTCTGGACTTTTTCTCAATAAAAGGGTCTATTTGATAATATTACATTTTTGTACTTGATGTAATCAATTTTTATTATACAATTTTAATGTTGATATTCAAATCTTTAGACCATTGTTTCTTTAACCATAATAATTTTATTTATGAAAAAAAGGAGAAACTTTTGCCAAATCCTAAATATTTTTTATAGAAAATATTGGAGAAATTGCAATGAAAGTGAAAGAAATAATAAACTCCTTGATGGAGAATAAGAAAAGTGTAAAGATATCCATATGTTCATCAGTACTGTCAGCAAAGTCTAAGAATAAAAAAGGTATTCCATGTCCAAGTGCCTCTCATTTGTCTAACACAAGTTGTAGCATTAATAGTATGCAATCATATTAGTTCTACATTTTCGTACTGTAGGAAACTTTTACTGGCGGCCTGCAGAAATATCTTGAGTTTAGAAATGTTTCTGAACTAATATATGATCGACATAGTATCACTGTTTTAAATTACATCATTTTCTTCCACTCACCTTCGAGCTTTGTTCTGCAACCTGTTTTTATCTATTACCACGCTGACCTTTAAACATTTACTCTTCGCCTCTTGTAACAGTCGAGGCATGGAGTCCGAGAAAAAGGGCCATCACCCTCAACACAGTATGATAATTGTATACTATATACTGTTATTTGTTTGTTTTATGTTTGAACTGACTGCCAAATATTAATTTAATCAAACTGTAAAAGTGCTCATATTAGCAGACCGAAAATTTAACGTTTTTTTTTTTTAAAGATTAGCGAACTGATGAATTGGTGCACTCACAATTATAAACAATAGGGAACTGTGAACAGAAACTGAAGTTGCCCCAGTCAAAATTAACCACAATATTTTAAGCGCAAACATACCGCTGAAAAGTGTACGTTTACAGTGGTAGTGAAGGGTTCTTGACACGTTCAACTATAAACGGTTTTCAAACAAATTACAACATCGGAACTGTTACAGGTTTTTGACGCGTTCATTCCTATTATCAAATATTTTATTTAATCATAACTTTTAATGTTTTTTTAACACGTTTATTCGTATGACCAAATACGCTAGTTAATCATACTCCCTCAAGGTTATTAACACGTTCATACCGACTACAAAATACGCTAGTTAATCATACTCCCTATTGGTTATTAACACGTTCATACCGACTACAAAATACGCTAGTTAATCATACTCCCTAATGGTTATTAACACGTTCATACCGACTACAAAATACGCTAGTTAATCATACTCCCTAATGGTTATTAACACGTTCATACCGACTACAAAATACGCTAGTTAATCATACTCCCTAATGGTTATTAACACGTTCATACCGACTACAAAATACGCTAGTTAATCATACTCCCTAATGGTTATTAACACGTTCATACCGACTACAAAATACGCTAGTTAATCATACTCCCTAATGGTTATTAACACGTTCATACCGACTACAAAATACGCTAGTTAATCATACTCCCTAATGGTTATTAACACGTTCATACCGACTACAAAATACGCTAGTTAATCATACTCCCTAAAGGTTATTAACACGTTCATACCGACTACAAAATACGCTAGTTAATCATACTCCCTAAAGGTTATTAACACGTTCATACCGACTACAAAATACGCTAGTAAATCATACTCGTTGAAGGTTCTTGATACGTTCATACCGACTGCCAAAGCTATTTAATCTTAAGTGTAAACGTTTTTTTTTACACGTTCATACTAATTACCAAATACTCTATTTAATTATAACAATTAATGATTTTTGACCCGTTTATACCTGATTACAAAATAGCGCACATATTGACCGTCACGGCTTCCCATGTCGAGATGAACGTTTTTATGTTAACAAAGCGTGTATCGGAGACGACAATCGGGCTATCCTTCTCAACGACATGCTTTAAGTGTTTCATTATATAGGATAAAAAATGTACCATTTTGTAATGTGAAAGAGTTGTGAAAGAGTTTAAAGAGGTTAAAGGGTTTCTTGTAAAGATAATCGTCGACATTAGAAGACACGTTTCCTGTGAATTATTTATGTATTCCGAAGTCCTCGAGACATTTTCAAAACTACTTATTGACGTAAAAAATCGACAATTAAAACTAGGACCACTTTAAATCCCCCGAAAATATAAATAAGGACTAGAGATCCAAAACTTTCCAAAGGGAAGAGCAAATTTTCTCATAATTTATTCCGGTCATTTTGAAAGTAATGTTTTTGATATAACCCACGTATAAGAGACATTTCTATATAACTATAATAATATCATGTTACAATTTCTAAATAACATCCACATGAATCTGTCGGGAGAGACAATCATTTCCTTGTGCTATCAGCCTCCGCTCCGCCATTAAATCATACGTTAACTACACTGTGTGTTTGAAACTGTACTTCAACCATCACAATGCAGTTATTTCGTCAAATTGCGCTTGAAGTGTTTATCAGAGGTATCAATCTGAATTATCAGCTGGTGTGTATTTAATCTAGTAGAGGATCCCATGTTGTTCAGTTTATAAACCCATATCATATTTCTGTGGCTTTGATTGGAGACACCCCGACAATTGCTATATCCGGTGAAGTCCGGCTTTCCTCACTTCCGGAACACTCTTCTCCTTTCAGCTTTTTGAAAAATTCCTAGTTTATAGACGCTGTTGTGTTATTTGTCGGCGCTCGTGTGAAACTTTTGTCATTGTTTGTAGCAATCGATGTAAATGTTCTGTGGGAGATCTGGTGTATTTTGTCTTTGAAGACGCTCTGGTGTTTTGAATATATATCATACGCACTCTAAGTTTAGTACGGCACGACTAAACGTTTCTTGTTATATTGATCAAATTAAAACAAAAAACAAAAAAAACCTTCAGAATGTTTTACCGTTTTAAAAATGTCATAATACGTCACGTGTTAGATAACAATGGTTACGAGAATCATGGGTCATGTGACCTCTCTCTACCACACATTCTATAACATTGTCTGGTGACTGACGTCACTGTTTTAAAAATCACGAGTCAGGCCGCGTAGGGATTTTGTAGCGGTGACGATGCTGATAGTTCGTATGCAAAACGCGCACCTATGCGTATAGCTCAAAATTCAAAAATCATTTTATCATAGTCCAAATACTTTGGTATTATGTGACTTGAATAAGTACTGAGTAATGGTAAGGTCTATTTTAATTACTCGGTGTAAATTGATGGATCCATATTGGTTATGTATCGAGGATGAATGTAAGTAGTGGAGGGAAAAGTCAAAGGGCGGCAACTCCTAACCGTATTGTTCCAAAGTGAGGAAAGATATAAATCAACTGGTTGATAACATTTTTGCTAAATCATTCCTAAGATGGCATTTTTGTTGACAAACAGACAATTCTATAACTATCATTATGAAAAGTTTCTTGTTACACAACCAATAAGTGTTTCTATGTGACGTTTCGATGACTAGTACGGTATGTACGCTGTCACCTTCATCAGACAAATGACCACAGAAGCGTATGCACAAAATAGAAACACTTATTGGTTGTGTAACAAGAAGCCTTTCATTATCCATACTTGAACCAACATGAAGAAAATGTTTATATATAATTAGTATTGCTGATAACAAACCCATTCCTTTTCCCATACTTCTTTGTTTGAGATACATAGTTAATCGAAGTGTTTCATTTGAAACTAAAGGGCTATACCAATAAACTACACTAAGCTTAATGAAATCGTTCTCATTTTGCAAATACTATTCTTGCTAGTCCCGTTTCAAAATATTTATTTGCAAAGATATGATGCTCTAAACATGGCCAACATACTCTAAAACAAACATGTGCAATATATTTAAGGATTGAATCTTGATTTGGTCGATTTCGCATTTCATGCTGAATTTGTTTCAAGATCGACTAAAGCAAGATTCAAACCTTAAATTTCAATCAACATGGTTTTTGTTTTTAAATAATTGGAACTTGTGAAAGTCCATTCTGATAATGTGTCCCAGATTTTGGAGATTGTGAAAGTGTGCGTATTGACGTAATGTGAAAAAAACCCATATAGTGCGTGATTGAAAGACCATTTACAAAATTATGTTGTACGCTGGTAGTTCACTTCAGCCAAATTATGAAAAACACAACACAAACATATTTAAACGTCATACACAATACATTTTAAAATCTCTTAATCAAGCGTTTAGTAAGGAGGCAATGTCAATCAGTCAACACCAGGGACTAATCAAATGTATTCCAAAACAAGGAAAATCAAAACTGTACATAAACAATTGGAGGCCTATTACGTTATTGAATGTGGATTATAAAATTGCAGCATCCTGTATTGCCAATAGAATTAAACAGACTCTGGTAGATATTATAAGTCAAAGTCAAGCGGGTTTTGTTAAGGGTCGTTATATAGGGGAATGTACCAGGGTTATAAATGATGTAATTGAAAAATCAGAAGAAAATGATCAGTCTGGCATATTGCTAATGTTGGATTTTGAAAAGGCCTTCGATTCCAGTTAGTGGTCATTTATAGAAAAAAGTTTGCGTTTCTTTGGCTTTAGTGATTACATTATAAATTGTTTTAAAACATTCTATTCTAATATCACAGCTTCTGTTGAAAATAATGGTCACCTCTCCACCTTTTTCCAAGTAACACGAGGAGTACGACAAGGAGATCCTCTGTCTCCATATCTTTTCATTATCTGTATTGAATTGCTTAGTGCAGCTGTAAAATATGATCCTGATGTCAAGGGAGTAATCCTCAATAATTCTGAATACCTGATAAGTCAGTATGCAGATGATTCAACATTGATACTCGAGGATGACCAAAGGTCTCTAGTTAAAGCGTTATATTTGATCGACATCTTTGGAGAATGTTCTGGTCTAAAAACCAATTTTG